ACTGGGGAGAAGATATCGACAACCTGATACTGAACACCTTATACACGCCATTGGATTAAAATATTAAAACATGACAACTGAATGTCAGTCACATAACTAAAATTGTGATATATGAACAGTATAGTAATGAAGTGAAATCCAAAAATCACCATACACACACAAACACACACGCATAAAAAGAAGGCTGAACCAATTCCAGATGCAGTGAATGCCCATTATAGGTAGTAAAAATCTATTTTTTTTTAAATCGAAACCAGTAATCCTAATTCAAAAGTAAGATCAAGTAAGCCATCCAGGTATGGTATTTTTAAAATATTTGAACAATGATAGAAAGAACAGTCTTGCTGTTGCGAATACTAATAATACTACTCTTACTTCTACCACCACTGCTACTGAACACACCTATCGCGTCCTTCTTCAGCGGACAAAAGAATACCAATGTAATTTATAAGGTGAAATCCCTAATATCCTTAGCTTCATGACAAATGCAAACTCACTCACTAGTGAAGGGAATGAAATTCACATTTGAATCGGAAAATGAACAAGGAGAATTAGCTATGTAAGATTGTAAAATAAAATAAATAGAAGGTAAACTGTACACACTAGCGTTTATAAAAAGCCAACGCACTCTGCTAATAGATATTTAGACTATAATTCATCTCATCCGTTAACTGTTAAGGAAGGCTTAGTTAAGTGTCTAAGAAACTGAGCAATAGCACTAAGTAGAGGTGCATCAAAAGACCTAAACGATGAAATGAAACAGATAGAAGAAGCGTTGGTGTTGGATAACTATCCTATAAAATTCATTAGGACGATCACTAAAGGCCAAAAGCAAAATAAAAATAACTATGAAACTAGTAATGATAACATAAATCAGAGAGAATATAAAGCATCTACTATTATACCATATAAGGAGGGGACATCTGAGACCCTACGTAGGACTCTGAATAAAATAGGAATTAGAATGGTAAGCTCTGTAGGTTAAAGGACCCAGTTGACCCAATTAGACAAAATAATATGATTTACAAAATACCCTGCAATGACTGTGAGCGAGGTCAAACTAGTAGGTCGCGGGCGCTCAGTTTGCTGGAACATAAGAGTTCAGCTAAGCTTAGAATGTTTGACCCCACGAAGATAAGTAACTTAGCAAAAAGCCCAGTTATTAACACACAACCACACAATAGGGTGGGAGAGGGTTAAAATTCTAAGAAGTAATATAAATAGGCGGAGAGAGACAGAAGTTGATTACTGAGTCTTTGTTCATCGAGCCTACACCCAAAATGTGCCATAGGAATGACTCATCACTCACATCGGATAAACAGAAAATGCTGCTACCAATCAAATCAAGTCAAGTGATGAAAAACAATGGAATTATATAAACGAAGTTAGAAAGTTGTGGGAGTATTGGCTTGATATGATTATGAGTAGTGACAAATTGTGCTCGAAACATGGTCATCAGTAAATATTACTGTTTAACGGTGTGAGACTTTATCAAAATAAATTTTTTATCCCTCACCTTGAAGAGTTTGTTTGTAGGAATTCGATTTATGTCAAGTTTGATCACGGATTGATATCGATTAGAGAACCACTAGAAAGCTAGGGTGTACTGGACAACTGTTTCGTCCTAGTTTGGGACTCATCATCGATACTCGCCCACCACCACCACCACCACCCCCAGAATTGAAAAACCAGGAACTTCCAGTTACAAGGCAAGCTTCCAATGATGATGATGATTCTCTAATTGATAGCAATCCATGATCAAACTTGAAAAGTATAAAGAGATATTCATCGGCATAATAAATATCAAATACCAGAGACACAGATTTGACGTCAAAGCGAGTAAATGAACCAGTGTTACGGTAAAAAAAAACGAACAAAACATGGGAGACACAAACAAAAAGAAGACAAAGAAACACAATATGAAAGAAGGGCAAAAGTAGCACAACCCGGAAGATCTGTACACAAATGACGATTTGGAGATAAGGGGTGTGTACGCGATTTCGCTATGCAGAGATAATAACATATAAAATATTCTTTTCATTTTACTAAGTCTCTTGCCTGTCTTCTACCGTTGTAGCCTGCTACTTATTACTTCTAATAATAGTAATTACTAGGAGCCAGCCATGAAAATACTACGTGTATTATAATCGGATTAGTTGTGTTCTTCATGAAATGAAACAAACCTACCCCATATATATATATATATATATATATATATATATACATGTATAAGAGCGAATAATGAATAGGTAAATTAACAGACAGATGTGAAAGTATACAGATATATACACACATATATATAATAGGCTAACGTGTTCCTATCAAATTACACCGATACATACATACAAACAAACAAACAACCATACGTACATACACACATATATAGAAAAATAGAAAAAAATAAATAATAAATATACAATTTAGTTGATACAATGGAGGAGGAAGAAAGGAGAGAAAAAAGAAGAAATTAAGCCACCCACCACCATCACCAGACAGGCACACACACACGCATACACAGCACTCACATACACATACAATCAAACAAGAACTGCAGCTGTATTGACATATATAGATATATAGATATATAGGCAATAAGAGAGACAATTTCCAACCTCCTTTTAGGCTATGATGATAAATTAAAAAATAAGGGGTGAGGAGAGACACGCAGGCAGCCAGGCATGTAATGAATGAATGAATGAATGAGTGAATAAGTGAAACGTCTACAAAACAGATTTTTTTTCTCCAAAGTGGAGGGGAGGTGATGAATGTCATGATGTAAACCAACCAAACAACCAACAACAACAAAAAAAAATAATACTGCATTATTGCTCTTCTGACCGAAGAAGATATGTTGACACTGTTAACGTGTATAATATATATTTAGTGTTGGAAAAGTGTGGCAGGCGCGGGGGGGGAGGCGGCGACTGAAGCAGACTGTATGACATGGGGTGAGGATGAGACGATGAAATTTATTTCCGTTGCCTACTTCCTTCGAGCGCGAACAGGAAGCCTAATAATAGTTGAAGTGATGAGAAAACGACAAGTAAACAAGCGAACAAACACACACATACAACACTACCATGAGAGGTTGAAATGACAGTGGTGGTGGACTACACCCACGCACGCAGGCACGCACGCACACACACGTAAGTAATGATGACAGCTTAGTTGATTGATTCCATCCAAGGTTGGACAAAAAAATGATTACTTACTCACCCACCCACATACCTAGGTATGCATGTAGTATAGATAGATAGGAGGAAGCATGTGTGCCTTTCTTCATTTGAGTATATATAAGGGGGGTTGGGGGATAAGTGATGCACACTGAAATAGACAGAGTTGGTGATGGTGGCGGAGGTGGAGGGAACGTAAACGAAAAAACAAACAAATCCAAAAAGCCTGAAGACAGTGAATGTATTGAACCAACACACACAAACACACATACATGCATACACAAAATACAGGAAAAACAAAATCGGCATTGTATAATTATAATTAAGACTTTTTTAAAGATGATGATGATTGTAAACGTGGTGATGGTGGTGACAGTGTTAGAGGAGGAGGAGAAAGGCAGATGGGGTGGGGGCAGGAGGAAGAGCAGCAGCAGGAGGAGGTGATTACTTAAAAAGAAGAAGATTCATTACAACATGAAGGTGAATTGTTGTTTGCTGAGACACGAAGACAAATAGCTACTAGGGTGAATGGAGAGGAGAGGAGAGTAAAAATGGGAAACACAGAGGAGGGGGTGAGGGAGATAAGGAAATAAATAGAAGACGAAGACCATTTTTTTTCCTTTCGTTTTAATCGAAACAAACTGAATGAGAGAAAAAACACTTGCAGGTACAAATACAGAGAAAGAGACACGGAGGAAGAGAGAGAGAGGGGGGAGGGAAGGAATGGATAGGAAAGAACACTAGTATTGACACTAGTATTATATATATATATATATATATATATATATATATATATATATAATGAGGAAAAACAAGGAATATAGACAAAAGGAACAGAGATAAACAAAAAATAGAGGAGATGGTGAATGGATAGGTGGTGGTGGTGGGGCAACTAGAAATGAATGCAAATAAACAAGAGAAAAATGAGAATGTGAAGGAAATAAAATGAAAAAAAGAGAGAATCCTAATAAATAAAAAACAAAAATAGGGGAAAGAGATATTTCTTTTTTGGGGGGTGGGGTGGGGGAAACAAACAATCCTCTTCTCTCTCTCTCTCTTTATAGATTATAAGAAGAAAGAGAGAGAGAGAGAGGAGGGAGAGTTGGAGAGAAATGCACTCAGCCAACATATACACATATAAGGATATATGCAAAGCATAGGCAAAAAGACTAGTATAATAAGGCGAGATGTGAATTAATCAGGAACGTAAACAACGCCACACAGCATACAATACAAACAAGCAAATTGAATAGGATTTTAGTCTTGGCCTCATCACATCAGATTGTGTGTAGAAACTTTAGTCATCATATAGGCATGAGAGATAGGAACAAAGAAGACACATTTTGGTCCAAACAGTAAATGATTCGAATAAATATATATAACGGTAAAAAGTCATTGTTGATCATGAAATCAACCTTTACTTGAGGATAAAAGAAGGAAAAGAAGGAACTTAAAGGGCACAACACATTAGTATCTGTTAGAACAGAGAAACTTCTTTGTGTCACCTTTGAACTCGTGATCTATTCATGTGTAATGTAACATCATGATAACCGAATTGGACAGTTTTAGCACGTTTATTTATGGCTTAATTTGCTGAAGATTTGTGTCATATCATGTTGTTGTTGATGATGTTGTTTCGGTCGTCGTTTTTCCCAATCTGGGAGATAAATTCAAGCGATCAGTTAGTTACATATATAGAGTCATGTGTCTGGAGGTGCATTCTTGTCACGTTAGACGAACGCACAACTCAAATTATACCCCACCGTCACAAACAGGTAAGGTGTAGAGCAAAATATAACGTTAAAAAATAAAGATAATAATACTTACGGTCTTCCAAGATTTGATACTCCACTCATAGCAGAATTTCCAAATGTCGCATCAAACATCATCTAGTAAAAAAGGAGTACACAAAACAAGGAAATGAATAAACTCGGTTATATAAACTACTAACAAAAAGTTTCTAAGTAATATAATTCATTAAATTCAACCTTTGTTTGAACAATAAAACGGTTGTCAATGGAATAAACGATGTGATATATAAGTTCTGATTTTCTTTTAACTAACTAATGAAAGAACACAGCAAGAACTGAATACTCGTCAAACCCCAGGTACTAATCGCCTTAACTGAATAATTTAAATATCTGATCAAGTTATGAGAAAGAATCATAGTTTTTTATCAGTAATTATCATTTCATGCAGATTTTGGGTTTCACAGCAGCATTCAACAGATATACCACCTATGACTGCATCAGGGATCAAATCCAGGAGCTTCAAGAAGTAACAAAACCAGCCACTGGGTTGGAATTCGATGATCCACAAATCTTAATTCCTGTCATTTTGTGATATAGCACCACTGACAACTAATGCCATCTATAACCATCCTGACATGCTGGAGGTCATGAGTGCCTACTGCACTAAAACAGTCCCGGACTAGGACGAAACAGCTATCCTATCCAGTACACCTTGGTTTTCAGTGATTCCCTAACTGACACCGACTCGCGACGAAATCCTAAATGTGGAATTCCAATAAGGTTCTAGACTTTTCAGTACAGACAAACAACTATCTAGCTTTTAAAATCAAATTACGGAAGATAGTTATAATGGTCCTTAATTGTTCTGTCTGCCTGTCTGTTTTCAACATAGAACTTTGCACAGATGTGCGGCGGTTCAAGTCGCTACACTCCATGTAGCACACAAAGCAACAGAAGAAAGTGGAAGAAATGCAAAATAGAAACAGTAGACAGAAATATGAGACAAAAGGAATAGTAATAACGAAGAACAATACAGTTTCATTGGAAATTATAAGTCGCAAGGAGTGAATGCATCTGCGCCAGCCATTGAGAACGATGATTTTGAGCCATATCACCAACCCTCTCCAGCCATTGCTTTTTACCGTCCCGAGGACCCCAACCAGGAAGTCTATACCTCCCTACGTGGCTTAAACCACGTAATTGTCCAAGATATCACAATCTCATAGGGTAGGTTATAAACAAACAACTCGGTCTATCTAGTAGTGGTCTTTGGTATCTTACAATTGAGTACATCTATGCAAAGTTCTATGTTGAAACTCAGTCTACCGATCAGTTATATAACGATTAGTTAAAAATAGAGAAAGGGATTAGCTTATTATACTCATGTTAGGGAACACCATCAAATCCACTTTTCGAATCCATACAGCATAATAAGACAGTTTAAATCAGCATCACTAAAAAATAAAATTGTACGTATAAATACATATGGGTTGTTTAAACAATAACTGTGATTTCCATGTACACAAATGTCGTAGAAATGAAAAGATAAGTTATCTAATCACATGAACATCGGTTTCCTCGTGGCATTAATCGGCGTCCAGTATAAATCGAAAACGAAGACATACTGATGCCTATATGTTAAGTGAAAGTTAAGTAAGATTGTAACAACAGAAGGCAACAGTCAGGCAACAGATCGTTTATTAAGGAAAATCAACACATATTTATAGATTTTGATGTACATTATTGTAGATTATTGTAGGTAGAAAATAAAGTCTTTTGATTGGTTGTTTCTCACAGAAAGTTAACCTTGCATCTCTTTGTGGCTGTGTCAGATCATCCATATGCTAACTGTATCCGCCTACGCAAAGCCTTTGTTCTCATTTTCTCACCACCAATATTGGGGACATAAACATTGAAGTCAATTACTGTCTACCAACTTTGGCTAGCAGGCAGCTCTTACCACAAGATGACTGACTGGTTTCAACGTAGAACTTTGCACAGATGTGCACCAGTTCGATTTGTCGCTCACCCTCCATGTACCACAACAAAGCAAGCGAACAGAATAAAGATAGATTCATCAAAAGAGAGATAACAGACAGAAATGTCAGGCAAAAAGAATAGTAATATGGAAGAACAACAGAGTTTTATTGTATATGACAAATCACAAAGAGTGACTGCATCTGCACAAGCATTTGACAACGATTTTCAGCCACATCACCAATTGCCTCCAGCCTTCATTGGTCCTTAACATCCCAAACACTCAGTCAGTCTACACCTCCCTACGTGACTGGCTAGCTTAAACTAACTGTTGTGGATTTCATTGAGTGATAAAGCCATGTTCTCGTTTGACCACCACAACCAGATCTCTCTTTTCCAATCTCATCAATCCTATTTCAGTAAGCTAACAATGTCCATGGAGGCAGGTGATGTCTAGAGATACATGCATAACACATTTCTTAACCATCTCAATCGATGTAACTTCACAACCTCATTGATTGATTTCCCCTCCTTACCTAGGACTCAGCCGAAGGCTAACCTCAAAATTGCTCACCTTATTACACCTACCACATACTTTCGAAGATAGAACGCAGACACCTACGGTGAAAAAAGCTAGCCAGGCTTTCCATGTCTTCCACTCTCAATGGCCATGGCTAACAGCCATAAACTAGGACGGAGCGGACCACTGAGCAGTACACACCACCACCTTTGGTCGACAGCCAGACATCATGTCTACGCCAGAGATGTTGTAAGTTGGCATACGCCGAACGAGCCTTCTGTATCCGTGCTGAGATTTTGTCATTGATCAATCCGCTGCAGCTGGCTGATGCAACTTCCGAAATAAGTGAAGTTCTCAACACGCTCAACCAATTCACTCTCCATCATTAAGTTGGGAGTGAGTAGAAAGAGTTCAATCCTGTAGGATCATCTTACATTTGACAGCAGAAGCGAATCGCATGCCAAACATTCAAAGATTGCTGCTCAAGTTGTTCTCATATCTCTAAGTAAGATATATATATCAGAAGAGACTTGAATGTGTACATATTACTCACAAAAAGACAACTGAGGCAAGATTGAGCTGGAGAAAAGTTAAAAGAAAAAGTGGTCATCGTACAAAGATGTGACACAACAACATTATGAAGATATTGGTTGCATTTCCAAGTTAAATAAAGTGTATAATGAGACACACAGTTGAAGCATTAAAGTAATCAAAAGCTAACAGACAGTTGGATATTCATTCCATATTAGTTTGTTTATTAGATGTATCACAAAATGAAACAGTATTATTTACTGGATGACGTTTCGAACAAAATTTATTGTCCATAATCATATCAAATCCCAGAGTGACAGAGTATTGACAGAAAATAATACTGTATCACTGTATGATTTCACCAAATAAATTTACTCTCTAGTGGAGCTATACTGTACCACAGTGTCCAAGTTCTATTCTTATATCAAACTGCCACAACACAGAATACAGTGGCAAATTTGGAAGATCACAAGGAGTGAATACTTTGGTGCTATTGAGGAAAAAAACTCTGAGCAATATCAGCAACAGTTACAAGTCATTGGTTCTTAGCATACCAAGGGCCAAGTCCAACAACCGCCGAATATTTCATGAACTGTTGCCAATGGAATCCTTTATCAGCTAACATTGGTCGATTAAGGAAGGCGGTAAGTAGGCTTGCACATACATACATCAAGTGTTTTAGCCATTTATCTCAGCCTTATTATCAAAGTGAACTGTCTTCCTTACCTAACACTATACTTAAAGCTTAATATTACTCACCACATTATACCATTTAACACGAGAAATCGAAGGCAGAAATCTATGGTAAAAGATGGGTGACAACGTACGAGAAAATGAATTGTAATGAAAGTATAATGGAGAAATTGAAGTATGCGCTGAAGATGTTTCCTAGTAGGGCAATGAAACTTCGTGAATTAACTATCCAGCTCAGAGAGCACAACCAAATCAAAAAATGTAATAAAAGTATTTGGTTATTGAGAATAAAAATGTATTGGCTGTTAATATCAACTTACAGATGAGGTTGTTGGTGGTGATGCAGTAGACAAGGAGTTTTGCTGACTAGATGGTGTTGTTGGAACATCTAATTTAAGTTGAGGTGGAGAAAGAGAAACAGCACTAACTCCGGGTAGGTTTACTCCACTAACAGATGATGATGACAATGGACTAGGCACCGATAATTCACCTGTAAGGTATTGAAAAAAACAAATGTTACAGTTACACATTAGGTCTGTTATGATGTGTCATTTACCACAGCATATACACAATCAGAGAATAAAGAGCTTTCAACCGAATAAAGTATAACGAATAAGCTTGCGGAATAACATACATATAACATGTCATGTAGTAAGTACTTTCACTGTACTCCCTCTGATATATACGAAAATAAATCATTACTATCTCCTTGTTAATGACCTGTTATACACCTGCGCACTATTGATAACGATCTTGAGTCACATCACCAACATCTTCAAGACATTGGTCCTCAACCAGGTAGCTTACACCTCCATACTTAGTTAAACGCAACAGCGGCAGACTTGGATTGACTATCTATAACTCGATGAGGAAGGCGATGACTCGGTATATCTCAATTGATGAGGCTGTAAAAAGCTGTATGGGTCGATTTGCACTCCTTACGTCTAACTTCAATATTAATCACCTTACTTATAGCAATTAACACGCGAGATAGAATGTGATATTATATTCGCTCTTTCTTCTATGAACTAACTACAATCATGGGATTATGTCTTCCCTCTCAATGAACCTCTACTTTGTATGATCAAATACTATCACTAATAGCTTACAGCTGCTGTATTGCATGCATTACTGCTACTGTTACGACAAGGTAATATAGTAATTTGAGCAATGCGTCTTACAGCTACCAGCTTTCAAAACTTCTCCCAATAATACAAAACATCTATTCATGAATAATCCTCATCTAGGGGGCATTAGTGAAAAGGACAAACCGAGTAGTTCAGCAAAATGGGTTCTTTTCGACGAAAAAATTGAACGTCTTTAGCTATATAATAGCACATATATACAACCGCCCGAAGACAATAAGCTTCTCGCATCCTCTTCATTGCTGAAGTTCTAGCCAATCTGATAGAGAAACTTATTCAACCACTACTACTACTACTACAATCATGGTAACAGCCTTATTGTATCCTAGCAACTTGATTTTCGTTTGCTTTTTTCAACTCCTTTTCTTTAGAAGTCTTACATAATACCTCATTTTCCTTCGTTTCTATTAGCATTCTCATTACAGCTCGTCTAAAATAGATTATTTATCTAATTACGTAACTCTAGTGCCCTTATTTAACTGCTCTTACGTATTGACTAATATTAACAACTATGACAACTCATCACTTTTGTTACTACCCTCTTTTATGGAAAAAATTGTTCATATGTAAATGCGAGCATAGAGCTAAAGAGGAGAATAAGTTGGCTCTTTATTGATCTATCCGGTCTTGTTGTTTTCAAAATACTTATCCATTTACAATGAAGAAAGAATATCTCTGGAGAAGTAAAAGTAGATAATTGTCATAGCATTGATGTAACTTTTACGGCACAGGAATATATGGTAGGTAAATAACTTTGTTACCGAAGCCAAAAAAGGGGGAAAATGGTACACAAGGGAGTCTTCTTCATGAATTTGTTTGTGAGGATTTAATTTGTTTCAAATTTGATTACGAATTGATATCATTCAGAGAACCATTGAAAACCAAGGAGAGCTGTTTCGTCCTAGTTTAGGAATCTTCAGCAGTACGCACTCACTGGGATTAGAACCAAGGACGAGCTCGTTGACGATTCTCAGCTCTCCTGGGACTCTATCCAATTCAAATCCCTACCAATTCGTGATTTTAGCGCAACCACCAACCAATATCATCGCTGGAGAGTTTTTATCCTCACTCCCGACTGGGTGGCTCCCACTGGTCACGACTTCTCATTAGAATTCCAAGCGACTTCTTTCTGCAACTAGTCACTGGTGAGTATCAGATAAATTTTCAAGAGTTTGATCACGGATTTATATCGGGTAGAGAACCATTGAAAACCGGTATTGGAGTACTGGACAGCTGTCTCGTCCTACTTTGGTTCTCTAACCTATATCAATCCGTGACCAAACTTAAAAAATAGAGGAATTTCAGGATTTTCCCAATATAATAACATAGTAGTAATGGTAGTAGTATTATCAGTAGTACGAGTACTAGTGGTTGTATTTAGTTTGCTTGTATTCTATGTAACAACGACTATCTATCTATGCGGGAAAAAGTATTTCCAGAGAAAGAGTGGAGTCTAAATATATGCTACACATTATTATACAGAACATTAGAAATAACAACCTACTACAATTATTACTGCTGAAAAAAACACATCAACAACATCCGCACCCTTACACACTAATTCTCAGTATATCAGGACAGCTGATCAAGCAGCATATATATATATATATATATATATATATATATATATGTATAAAAAGTGAAACAAGCCGACTAAATGATGGCTATTATTTTCCCACTACTACTACGACTTCTACTATCACCATCACCATCACCACCAACACCAACCCCCACTCTCCTACTTTTCTCTACATCACATCAGTCATTATTGCCATCCCAACTAGGTCATGAAATATAAAAAAAAGAGAGAGGAGAAAGCGAAACAACACTACTATCGCATCATCCCGCCACCACCCTTTACTACTATATCTATATATTTTTGCTCCAGTTACCGACCCAAGCGCAAGCTATATAACCCAAGGTGGTGGTGGTGACGGCTGGTGGGTGGGTGGGAGTGGTGGCAATGGGTTATAAAGTGAATAATGGGGTAGAGACGCAATTAGAAGCGTGTTGTTTTCCTCCCTCTCCACCACCACCTCCTAGTCCTCGTCGTCGTCGTTGTTCTTGTTGTTATCACTGACGTGATGGAGAGAATAAAGGCATGCTGAGCCGGATGGGGAGTAGTAGTAGTAGTAGTAACAAATACAGGATAAAATATTGACGGTGAACGTTGTGGTGGTGGTGGTGGTAGTGGAAATGATGGTGATGTAGAGCAAACTGATTACAAACAAGGTGGAGGGAGAGGAAAAAATCTAATCAATAAAAAAGAAAATAGTAGGGGTGGTGGAGATGGTGATGATGATGATGGGAGCAAAGGAAAAACAGGAAAAAAAACAAAGATGGATTGTATGTTATGAGGTAAATAAAGAGAGAGAGGGAGAGGAAAAGGAATAGAGGCAAATTTATGCCAAACACGCCATCTATCTTTTATATCATCATATCAGTCCAAATGGCATATTAACAAGAGAGCAGGAGGGGGGAGAGGAGGAGGATGAATGAATGAACAGAAAAAGAGAATATATAGACTACTTTTATTATTATTATTGTCCCTAAGTGTCTGTGAGCGTGTGTATGTGTGTGTGCAAAATGATGGAGACCCTAAAAAGAGGAAAAAGGCTTAGCAAGCAATTATAAAGAATGCGTTTAGAGGTGTATATATATATATACGCATGCATACACTAGGCATACACTAACGTACACGTTGGCAAAACTAAATAATATATATATGTATGTATGTGTCTGCGTGTGCATGAGTTAACACATAAATGCACAAGATAAGATATATACCATAAATTCATGTGTTGTGCACCGTGTTGTGGTATATGAAGGTGGGAGGTTGGTTAGTAGTTTGGGAGTAGACACAGAAGTGGAAAAACAAAGAAACAAGAGGTGGACACAGATTGGCTATGAAACACACATAGTCAGTCGTAGCTGTTGTTATTGTTGTTATAATTCTCAATATATATATATGGAGAAGAGAGAGCTTGTTTTCTATATTAAAATATATTAACGACACAGTTGAAACTATCTCGCCTATATTAATATTATATATGAATAGAAAGATGCATAGAGGTGAAGTGATCACAATATTAACACATTATATTTTAGGAATATGAACAAGTTGAACGCGGGACATTTAGGTGGTTCACCTTTCTTCTTAATAAAATCATAAGATAGTAAAATAGCCTTCTAACTTTAGTTTACAACTAACGAATAAAGTATATAAGGCATAGGCACTATTATACAGTTGAGTTGACTTACCGCTAACACCTCCTCCTCCACCTCCTAGAGGAATTGAACCTATTCTACAAGAATTTGATGCATTACTTGAAACAGATAGAGGAGATAAACATGGTTTTATATTAGGTGTATCATGTTGTTGTTGTTGTCTGTGAAGTGTTCCACTTGCTTCAGAAGATGACGAATTATGTAAGAGTTGTTGATTCGGTGAACCAGTACGACTTGATGAAGAATTACAGCCGCCGTTTGTAACAGCAGTAGCACCAGCATCAGCGGCACTTAAAAATGGTGGATTGTCATCTGATTCTTTATGATCTAATTCAAATGATGCATCTTTTTTAAAATTAGTATTATTATTACTATTATTGTTATTATTATTATTACTATTATTATCAGAATGTAAACTAGTTACACCATTCCCAGTAATAGAATGATTCTTTAAATTATTCGGATTTAATAGACCACTTGAACCATTATGTTTTGTTGATGGAGTACGACGACCAGGGGAATTTGAACTCTTAATTCGAACCTGTGTGTGAATATATATATATAAACAAAAGTTAATTCAAAGAAAACAACAACAACAACTTATTATTATTACAGGTTTGATTACAAGTTGAAATCAGTTAAATAACTATTGGAAAGTCAAGGAGTAAAGCTGGACAGATTTTTCGTACCAGTCTGGGACTCTTCATTAGTACGCACCTCCATAGGGGTTAGAACACAAGACATGCAGATTACGAGGCAGGCTCGTTGACCATTCAGTCACTGGGACCCGATCAACTTCTGCCGTATACGGCGAGACCGCCAGATAGTGTCATGGGTGAGTCGTAGTAACTCCCGACTGGAACTCCAGGTAACTTCCTGCTGCATGGAGCCAATTACCAATGTGTATTAGATTATTTATCGAGTGTTGGCTTGTAGGGATTTGATGAAGCCTGTAACCAATTAAATCTCAGCAAATCAACACTATTATTTTATTGATAGTGCTGAACTAACAGTATGAATAACATCTACACCGAATAATAACCTTATGAAGTTTAAAATTAGTCCTTTAATGCTTCTGTTTAAAAAAAAAGCTATGAAGTCGACAAAAACAAACAAAATTTAATCTGTAGGTTTACGTCATTCTTCTATCAAGATCAAAGCCATTTGATTGCCAACAAAGAATTCAGGTAGAAACTGATTTAATGAAACTAAATACTTCAAATCTTGAGAATTTGATTTTATTAGCTGAATGTGCACTCTCATTCACAATTATTTAAACACAACACTTCGTAGTCAGTCAGTCAGTCACATTACGAGTTTTAGGAACCATCTACTATGGGATGATTTCAAGTAATTGAAAGTAGAATGAGTGTGTAGTTGAATAAGGCACAGTATTATCCCATCACTTATTTTATTATACAGAAAAAGCATCACCTATACAACTCATTCACAGTTACTCATCACTAGTATAACTGATTTTTTATTGGATTAGGAAACCACCCACCCAGTTAGAGAACCATTGGAAACTAACAGGAAGTAATGGACAACTGTTTCGGCCTACTACCGGACTCTTCACACGTACATACTCATAACCCCCACATTGGGGAAGAAATCCAGAATCTTCAGATTACAAGGCAAACTCGTTGACCATTCCAGCCATTGGGATGGAATCCGACAGAGCATTTATTTTAACTTCTGTTAATTTGCAGTTTTTGGTAAAATAGCTGCCCACTACTACACTTGAGCTTTTAAAGTTTCAGTAGTAGTGGTGTTGTCATTTTAACAGGGTGAGGTCGTTAACCTCACAACCAACCTTCCCCTTTTATTGGGTTTGTACTACTTGTTAAACAAGGTTTAGGAGTTCGTAATCCGGGGATCGAACCGCGGCTCTTTGACATGGTTGGCAAGCACCCTATGGCTATAGCACTAACGCCTAGAACTTAGTTACCAGGATCAATATTTTCTGGATATCCTAGGCTATATATGAATTGCACTTAATGTGCTATCGTTTATGTCCAGAGTAGAGTAGATGGATGGCGACCTCAACCTAAACCTGTTGGCTAAAAGTCGAGTGTGTTTATATCCCATGAGCCACACGCATCTCCACTTATTATAATATGGCCATTTAGCAGAAGAAAAAAAATAACCACAAGATAACAAAGATCATATCAACAAATGAAGCAATTTTGGGGTTTTGTACACACAAACACACACACACGTGTATCGATTGAGTTTATTACACTTTACAACAAAAACAACATATTATGAAATGAGATGAATAAAAGATAAAGAAGTGCATCCATGCCTACAGCATATTACATCAACATTTTTTGAAGGAGATAAAAAGAAACTGAGTTGATTTCAACTATGAACTTTATTCTCTGTCGAAGCTAATCAGAGCATCAACTACTAACTGACTAACACTTTCATAATTGATTAGTTTTATGGCTGATGAATATATATAAGAGACGAAAAAGTCACCAATTTTTCAATTTGTTATTAATATGGTCAGGGTGAAGGGGGCTTGGAACATCATGGTGATAACAGCTCAGGAGCAGAAAAAATTCAAGCAGTTGATCTGAGATGAATGAATTACAGACATGACTTAAATACAATAACCTGATTTTGTGTGAAACTAAACTCTCTCCTCCTCTCTTTCTCTCCGTCTTCCTGCCGAACATTCATTAAAGTACTCCATAAACGACCTGTTACGGCTAAAGGGTGGGTAGACTTTGGTCTTCCTCTCACGTTTATAGCCTCTGCCAGATAAGTCCTACACTCACTGCCTTCATGCTACAGCAAGGGTATTCCTCACAAAAGTGCAAGGGCAAATCCGAACATCTAGAGCTTACAAACAGATTGGTGAATATGCAGGAGTTGGTAAAACCCTGATTTCAAAGCCTATGGTGTACATGGGCTTCAGAATCCGAAAAAACTGATTGGCATATGAACCTGCCTTGATCACCATGGGAACGCTGCTCTACTACCTTGTGGATCATACCTCAAGCTATAGGCTTGAAGTGAATGGGCCTTTTAAGGCAACTAAACTTAGTCAGAATTCATCTAACTACTTTCATGCTCTCTGTCAAACTAACTATTCATATCGTGTACGTGTGTATGATACAAAAGAGAAAGACAGTTTACTTACCAATCCATTTTCTTCTAACGTGTTATTACCAACTCCACTGCATTTATCTCCTGAAATGGACTGGAAAAGAAATGGAAATCTTCCAATCAATATATATATATATATATATATATATATATACATAATTATACTATGCTCCATGTCTGCGTATAATGACTAGGAATGCACACTTCATATGCCTTCATACTGATGTCTGCGCTGAAGATACTACCTTGACAGCCAATGAAAGCTTCACAAGTAAACCGTCCAGACAAGAAAATACAAACACACGAATAAAAACTACTATTCTAACGTAAGGTCACCTCTCCCGTGTTATGTGTAATAGGGTGAGTAATATTGAGGTGAGGCACCACTCAAGTTCTAGGTGAGGAGGGGAAATCAATCAACCCGTTTGTGAAGTTACATCGATTGAGATGGTTAGGATATGTGTTATACATGCATCCCTAGCCATCACTTCTTTCCACAGACATAGGATTGATGAGGTTGGAAAACAGAGACCTAGTGGTGGTCAAACAAAAAAATGGCTTCATCACTCAATGAAATCTGTAACAGTTAGTCTAAGAGCTAGCCAGTCACCTAGGGAGGTGTAGAGTGGCTGACTGTTTGGGGTCCTCGGGATGGTAAGAACCGATGAAGGCTAGAGACAATTGGTGATGTGGCTTAAAATCGTTGTCAATGACTGTCGCAGATGCAGTCACTCTATTGTCCCTCCATATAACTATTCTTTCTGCCTGACACTTCTGTCTGTTATCTCTCTTTTGATGAATCTGTCTTCACTGTCTTCTCTTGCTTTGTGTGGTACATGAAGGGAGAGTGGCAACTCGAACTGGTGCACATCTTTGCAATGTCCTATGCTGAAACTAATCAGTCATGGTAACCCCTACACTCTGTTTACCTAACTGTTCTGAATAAACATTGTATTTACATTAGATCGCAGGTATTTTGGTTAAATTGCCACCACAAACAATATAATTTTAAAGGGACAGAGATATGTTCTATAAAAAAAGAAACAACATCTTTGGAAACAGCTCGTGTAACGGAAAACATCAATTTTTTTTAAAGACATTTTGAGAAACCAAAAGAAGAGTACATTAAAACATCAACAACGTGAAACAGTGGAGAACGGCAACATATGGAACACAACTAGGTCCATGAACAATGGTATATACCTGAGATTATATGATCTTCCAAGAATGTATGCGAAGAATGTGCCATTGGGTAACATTTCGGAGCACACAAATAATTGATGTTTTACGAGCTCTTGTTTCAAATCTTGAATTATACTTCAAGTATGAAGTGAAAATTATGCCTAAACGTCAAAAATTTATACCGACGTAAATAAATACATCATGATTACTGATATTCGCAAAACATTAAGGTATATCCATAAATAATGTAATAATGTAGACTTACGCGTTCAGTTTTACAACGTTTCGCATCTGGTCCAGTAGAGTGTATATCAATTAATCCTGGAGATCGTGAATTAGCCCGTTGACGGCTTGGACATGAATTCATACCGGGTACAGGTGTTGAACTTTTCGATGGTGGCAGTACAGATCCTGAGTTGGCAAATGATGATGATGACGATAACATGGACGAGGAGGAGGAGGACGAGGCAGAGGATGGAGGCGGTGGTGGTGGTGGTAACAAATGATTTGCACCTAATCCAGGCAAATCTGGATGTACACCGCTGCCGCCGCCACCGCCACCACCGAACAGACCAGGTGGTAATTGCAAATTTGAATTAGGTCCATCTTGTTGCATATCAGAATTCATACCTGCAGCGGCTGCTGCTGCCGCAGCTGACTGAGCAGCAAAACTAGCCATTGTAGCCATTAGATTATGTGCATCCATTGGTGAGCCGCCACCAGGTAGGCTTCCACCACCACCACCACTGCCCATTCCACCAGAGGCGAAATTCAATGGAAGACCAAAAGCTCCAGGTGGACCACCTTGTGATGCAGCAGCGGCAGCTGCCATTGCTGCAGCCATAGCAGCAGCTGCTGCTGTCCTCTGTAAAATCATAAATAAATGAGAAGATGAATTCCACGAAAATAAAAGTGAAAAGATAAAAAAAGATAAATCTTCGAGTTGTGATCGATCACTAAATAGTAACGAATGTCATGAGTCTAGTCCTTGGTTTAGTGCAAACTGAGTACCACCAGTTACATTTGCAGTGTGGCCAGCAAGGCTAGGTGACCCGCCATAACGGTGGCACACAGAAGCAATCGGCAGAAAGCCTTGGACTTAGGTTTCGTGCTTGTTGGTATTCACCAATCAGCAAGGCGTATCTCTAATCTTGAAGAGACTCATTTCCTCAAAAGGGTCAGTGGTAACATCTCTGAATGACTGCATCATCGGATAATGCAGGTTCAAATCTCAAAGGGGATACATGAGTTCCTTTTGGCTGGTAACTAAGATGCATGAAATCTAGGTCCCAGGCTTCCTGTCGATTGCCTTCAACTGTCTAGCATGATATTTTGCATATTTAACTTGACAGTGTTACAGGAAATTTTCATCATATACAAAAAAGACTTGCGAAATATAAATTCACATCAATTATCAATCGTCACTAAACCCGTCCATAATGAATTTTCTTCGTTTATCATTAAAAATTGGTAATTATTTTATAAACTAATCAATAGTAAGGATAACAGAGTAGTACAGGCATTGAGAATAAACTTTTACAAGGTTATTATGATGAATTCTCAGATTCAGGAGATGACTCCCTCAATGGGTGTATACAACTAATGCTTCAAATGCTACTGGAGTTTAGTTGTTGGTATCCAGTCTCTCTTTTTAAGCGGTATGATACTGGCAAGTGATACTTAGGTTAGACTTAGAGTGCGACGTAAGAAGGGGAGAGATGGGTCAGAGCTGCATCGACTTAGATGACTCAGGCACATCTTACACACGTCAAGACATAGCCTTCCCTGACAGGCAGTGTTAACTGATATAGAGCTAGGTTGTATCGGACATAGGAGTGGTCGAATCAAAACATCGGAGAAATCCATGAAGTCTATAAACGTTGGTTTGAACCAAACACGTAGGTAGATGTATAGATTGTCAATCGACGAGGCTGTAAAATTACATCGACTAAGATGGTTAGGACATGTGTTACGTGTGCATGGTCATCGCCTTCCTCGACAACAGGCAATGTTAGCTGATATAGGGTCAGGCTGGAAAAGAGTTAGCGGCGGTCAAACCAAAACATGGCACCAGTCAATGAAAACTACAACAGTTAGTCTAGGCCACGCAGGAAGGTGTAGACTTCCTGGTTGGGGTCCTCCGGACGGTAAAAACCAGTGGCTGGAAACAATTGGTGACATCGCTCAAAATCGTTCTCAGTGATGGCGCAGATGCATCCACTCCTTGTGACTTATGATTTCCAATGAAACTGTTTTGTTCTTCGTTATTACTACTCTTCTGTTTACTGTCTCTAATATGCATTTCTCCTACTTTCTTCTCTTGCTTTGTGTGCTATATGGAGTGAGGCGACTTGAACTGCTGCACATCGGTGCAAAGTTCTATGTCGAAAACAGAGAGACAGACAGACAGTATAGATTGTCTGGTTCAGGTGCTCGAGAGGCTAAAAGCTGATCACTGGGCTGGAGATTATTCGTGATATGATTTAAAATTATTCTAAATAGCACCGATACATCCCCTTTATGCAACTACCAAAATCTAGAAAAATTCTCATTCTTATTTATCCCGTATATTTCAGTCTATTTAGATTTCTTCATCATAAAGCGTGGTAACTTGAACGGAATCATTTTTGTACAAAGTCCTAAGTTGACAAATCCAGTTCAATTCACTAGTGCAGTTGAACAATATGATGAATGAACATTTCATCAGTGAGTGCATAGTTTATCGAATTTTTTGTAAGAAAAAAAACTTAACGATTCCTGAAATATGAGTTAAACCTTGATCAAAGCTACGGACGTCTATACTACTGAATAAAATACACTGAGTGCTTAAAAGACCAAAAATGTTGAGATGTGATTGTCAGTATCTGTACGACACATTCACATTTATGATTTACACATTGAGAATCAGGGGGCTAAATGGAAATTGACTACTGCTCTTCAAACTTTGGCATCATCCTCATCAGTGTTTTCACATTCTCCTTTTATACTTGTTATTTTATCATCATACCAAATAAACGATCACAACAACAACAAAAATACAAATGCTAACTTCCACTTCTAGATGAATAAAAAATATAAGACATACAAAAAAAATCCACATTCACATTATACTGGTTTAAACTTCTTTAGCCAGAAACAACAAAGGCAAGCTCTAAATGAGCCTCCTTATTTCTATTCGGAGGCTCATAAAGAGACAGAGAAAAAAGGAGTAGTAATTTTTATCTGTGGTCTGTCTAGAGTATCCTCACCACCCTAGCCGCTTCTATCACACATCAATTTCATCATCAACCCCACCACCACCACCACACCATCCCCATAAAAACCTGGTTGATGAATAGAGCCGAGACGGCACGCGGACAAGTGGCCTACCAACCCTGCCCTAATAAACATATATAATGTCTCATTCTCCCCTCCCCTCACCCTTGTCCATGACAAAATAAAAAAAACAGCGTCAGTTTTCCTCCTACCCTCCCTCCCTCTCTCACATATACACACATCAACCATCCATCCTACAGGAAACCTAGTAGTCACAAAATAGTATATAAGTAGAAAGAATAGGCTGTTAGACGTTAGAAAAAGGAGTGGAGGTAGACAACATCAAGCTGTATCGGAAATAAGATGCGTGTGAAACAGAACTAGGGGGGTGGGATGGGGACAGAGGGTGGATGAACACAACTAACTAACGACCACACCCAAACACAATTGTTAGATGCTCTCTGAATATGAACATTAACAAAAACATTGCTACCATTATACAGTGAAATGTATGCGTATGTGTATATAGAGAATATATAAAAAAAGGTAGAATGAGAGTGGAGAAAAGCAGAAAAGAGAAGTAGGAGGGGGGTAGAGAGGAAGAGAAAGAATTAGATAAAGGAGGAGATATCCAAAAACAACAACACACTAACTATATTAAGAGAACCTTGATTATTATATTACTACTACTAGTAGTAGTAGTAGTAGTAGTACTAGATGGATACATAGAGAGAAGATTCACAATCAATCGTGATAATTGCACAGTAGAAACGAGCAAACGAAAATATGAAGGAGAAAGATGGTGATGATGATGAAGAGGATAATGAATAAATCAGGAAGAAGTTCGGTCAGATAGATATAGAATTACACAGCATGACAACAACAATATCACATCCTCCTATGCACAAATAGTAACAAAGACCAGCAGCAGCAGCGGGGCAACGTGCTAAGAGATTCAGCTTTATTCAAGCAACACACATAAAATGAATCCCTATGATAGCTAAAGTTAACAGTAAACTTGATAGTAGTCGGTTGATGAGACAGTGGTTATATGAAAATGAGAAAGACTCATTCATGCCAATAGAGACAGAATAATTTTCTTCAAGTCAATATTGTTATATGCATTAATTGTTTGAACCGAGAGGTTCAGCTTCTGTTGTTAATTCAACTCGCGGTAGGGACGCTTACACGACATCTGAAGGTTAACATGATTAACTTATACCCGTTGCACAACTGGTGTAGTAGATAAACGTTTCAACATTTAAAACGATGGACACTGGGTTCAACTCCTGGTGGGAACAGCATTATCCACTGGGGATTTCAGGCATATCCAGCTGACGGGACCCAAAGAGGCATCCTGGATTCTACTGGCAGTTACTATCCACCAAGTAACTTATTCCATCATGTGTTTGTCACTTCCTGTTGATATTTCTGACCAGTTTGAATAAACTAAGGTTAATTGTCCAATAGCCTAAGTGGATAACACTTTAGTGTTTGAAGCATTGGAGCTCAAGTTTCACTGGCGAGAAGGTACATACAGTTGACGACACTTAAAATAGGACGAAACCTGCATCCTTAATTCTATTGCTAGTTACAACTAAATAAATAATTTGAAGGCAGAATAATTTCTTGATAGGTATTTTATATACCACTGTCAGTGTGTCTTTGGAATTGAGCCATACAAATCCAACTATTAAATAAGAGGGAGTGTACTCTGTTACACCTGTGTTGTTCTTATCTTCGATATATTCACAATATGTCAATTCCTAAAGATAATCAATTCTTCTGAGTTTTTTTAGAAGCTTACTGAAATTAACTTCTAACATTGTTCTGAACGTAGTCAAAGTAGGATACTGCGCAACCACAAGGGTTGAGAAATATGATTTATATTCCAGAAACTATTAATGAGAGTTTCGCTCTTATGAGAAATGTATCAATGTGTGTGTGTGAACACCATTTTGTAGGATTTTATAATACTAACCGGTTCCACAGGCCAAGTTTGATCCACCCTAAATCGTCAACATGAGGTTAAATGCTAAGAGTTAAGAAAGACTATGCAACTTACAACCACATACATAAGAAAATCAACTAGTTAAAACCATAGAGTCAAGGTAACATTTGCAACATTCTACTGAGAGGACAAGGTCAATAGTTCACAGACATCATTAGAACATTGAGAAATGTTTGTTTCAATAAAAATTTGACCTTATATAACCACCGTTTGACACCTTTTCTTACTTAATCTGAAGTCAACTGTTCACATCATGAAAAACTTTGTTAATTTGTTAAATAGTCAATATGTTAATGAAATAACTACTTGTGGTGATAAAAATCTTTAGATGTAGAATTTCATGCGTTTATTAGCTTAAATGGGAGGAACGTGAAAGAAACAACCTCTTATGCCTACCTGGGAAGCATCGTTTCAACTACAGGTGGACAGAACTGACGAGGATATCAAAGCGAGAATCGGAAAAGCAAGACAAGCTTTCACTACTCTTAAGTCTGTGTGGAGGTCAACAACACTCAGCATCAAAAATAGGATCCGGATTTTCAACTCCAATGTGAAGCCAGTCAGTGCTACTATACGGATCAGAGACTTGGCCAGCGCGT